TCTTTCCACAATTTATAACTTTTATATCGATATTTTATAAATTCGAAGAAGAAGGAGAAGAAAAGAAAATTGGCTTTAAGACACTGGCGTTACACGTTTATTAATCAAACAACCAAATGGAATACGAAAAGTTCAAACGTTACTCACCACTTCGCCAGCGTTTACTTCAAACGTGCCGTCACCCTGTAATAAAACGAGCTCACGTTACGCAAACGTTGTAAATTTATTCTCTTCGCTAATAATATTTCTTCTTCGATAATTTCGACGATTCGTCGTGCAATAATTACATTATTATTATTATTATTTGAAATACGTTGAACAACAATGAATGAAACGTACCTGCCTTCTCCTAAGTTTCTTGTATTTCTGTCGAAACGGGCGGCCCGTGTGTGAATCGTTGTCATGAAAAAAAAGAAAGAAAAAAAAAAAAAAAAAAAAAAAAAAAAAAAAAAAAAAAAAAAAAAAAAAAAATAGATTTTTATCGTTGAAATTTAGTCGAGAAACAAACAAGTTGCTCGTTAAAACGCACTTGTTTTATTATATGATCCCGAGCCTTCGATTCTTTCGTTGGCAATTGACGTTGGACGAGTACGCGATATACTTGTCATCACACGTCTGAATCAAAGGCCCCGGAATTACTCGCAGCTAGAATTGATGGATATTCAACGACTCTCGGGTTCGACGAACGGTATTATATGGAAGGGTCAATTATATCTCTCATCTTTGCCCGTTCAATCAAGGGATTTAAAATGAAAAGATTCGATACGAGAGGGTTGTTTTTTTTTTCTTTTTTTTTTTTTTTTTTGATCGTCCATCTGCTGCGCGTTTAAGTATTATCGAGAGACTCACCGATTCACCTTTCTCCCCTTTTTCACCTTTCAATCCTGGATAACCCTGTTTAGACGACAGAACAACGTGGTGGCGTTAAATCTTTCTGTTCGAGATACGTGTTGTTTCGTCAGTTTTATCAGGCCAAGAGAATTCTGTCGTTTTTGAAAGGGGGAAGACACGCTTTTAAAACAATCGTTCTTTCTCTGTTTAACAAGGAAAGATATGTTCTATGTATCTTCAAAATTGTTTCAAGATCCTGTAGTGATTTTGATTTTTTTTTGACTATTGATTAATCAAAAGTGATTAATTTCTGTTCCAAAAATATTTTTTTCTTGGAAACGGTTATTAATAAAAACAAGAAATTTTTAGCATATTCATCATATCTAATGTTTTAAGTCACAATAATTATTTGTAGAACAACATTTTACAAATAATTTATTTTATCGTATATTTTTCCACGATACGAAAGACAGAATTTTCTTGGTTAATATAATTGAATAAATATTGTAATAAGTTGAGTGGTTTACATACCGGTGGACCAGGCAAACCTGGTGGCCCCATAAGTCCTGGAGGTCCAATATCTCCGTAGTCACCTTTTTCACCTTTGGGTCCAGAAATTCCCTGTACAAATATTTAATATGGCAATAAATGTATGTAAGGTATGTACATCGAATTTTATTCCTTGAAAACCCACAATAATCGATCGCATAATGTAACATAAATAATGATATTATCGTATTGAGAATAAAATTTCATTTAAAATTCGATTCGAACATTATTATTTATATGTTAAAATCTCAAAGATATAAAAAATAAATATAAATGTTTTTAAAAAGGAATATGTCAGGAAATTTTACAACATTTTACAAATTTTACAAATTATTTTGGAATAATTCACATTTAAAAATTTGTGTATTAAATTTTTTTTAATATAAACACAGATTTTATATAAAAATTGTTAAAACATACCGTCAGAATAGAATAATTCTATGAGCACGTTTTATGTAAATAATTTACTTACTGGCAACCCTGGAGGACCCTGTATACCAGTCTCCCCATCCGTTCCATTGAGCCCAGGTAAACCAGGTTGTCCTTGCTCTCCCTTTGGTCCTGAAATTACGATTCTTTACTAGTACAATTAAGTAACAATCCTTATTCATCTCGATCCTTCGTACTTCGATCCCCTAGAGATGAAATATACTCGATTATTAATTCCTCTCCTTTCACTCTCTCTCTCTCTCTCTCTTTCACTGCATAGACAGAATACATCGCAACACTCTCTCGTTATTTTCGAATTATTTTCGAAAATACCATTAATATTGGAATAAAACGACATATAACGAGAGATTCCACGAGATTTGATTTCTCTCAAATTTTCTCAGCTCTTTTCTCAGAACAAGATCGAATAGAAAACGATAAGAGAGATTTTCAATCGGGGGATAGTTCGAAAGCATTTGAAAATTTTAAAAGTAGATTTTAAATCGAACGTATACGAAAGACTTCAAAAGCGAAAATACAGAAATAGGCTTTCCTTGTTCGACCATTCACACCGTCGTAATATCCAAAGACTGGATAGGAAGATAATGATAATACATCGTGTCGAGAATAACAAAAAATGAATTGGATTATGAACAAGTTTTAAAGAGGTTTTCAAAGTATAATAGTGGCCTGTGACGAGCGTATATACGATTGTAGATCCATCAGATCGGGAGAAATGCGAGGGGAAGAAAACCCCCCTTTTTTTTTTCGATTGTAGCAGTTGGGACGGAGATATATATATATATCGTTCATATTGTCATCCATCTTTTTCTCCAATTTCGCAGAGGAATGGCTCTTGAAAATCTACCTGGTGAGCCCGTGTCTCCCTTGGTTCCTTTATCGCCTCGGTAACCCCGTTCCCCGGGATCACCCTTTGGACCCGGTAGACCGGGTGGGCCTCTCATCAATGCCACACCGCTCTCACCCTTGAAACCCTATAATGTAACACTGTAAGGTCAGGTCCAACCAGGTCCTCCATCTTTAAAAATTTTCTTTTTTTTTTTATTTTTTTTTTATTTTTTGAAAATTCTTTTCTCTTACGACGAAGCGTTAATCGGTATCATTTTTAGGTTAGGATGGGTACAGAGGGAGAGGAGATTTTCGGTTTTATTTATCGTGGAAATTATCTATTTTGCTGGTCGATTTTGGCACCAATTTTTTCTTCTCTCTGGAGTTTCTTTTCTTTTCTTTTCTTTCTTTTGTTTTTCTTGGTTGTATTTCGTTTGATTTGGAAATGATTGATGATGCCAAAATCGACCGAATCGAGGATTACGATTAACACACTAGAAACCTAGACACACTAATCGTTTAATCGAAAAAAACACAAAAGTTTACTACATGTGGTGTGAATATCGCATGCAATATCGACGACAACGGGAACGCTTGTTAGTAGGGGGATCAAATTTAGTAGAAAAATGGAAGCTATTAAAACTTATCCCCACTTTCCTCTCCATTTAATTAAATTTTAATTCGTCTTGGTTTTTTCGAGTATAAATAAACAAATATTCCTGGTAATGATAATTTAACCGAATTTGAAAATATTTTAAGTAATAAATTTATTAAGCGAATTATTTATCTAATTTCACTTCGAGTAATAAAAAAGATACTTAAAAAATATTTTATATAATCTGTCTGAGAGGAAAGAGGGGATGAAACACAAATGAATTAGAAGAGGGTCGAAACATTGACAAAAAAAAATATATATATATATAAAAAGAAAAACAATAGTAATCGTGAAATTAGCTGCGTATGACACGACGTACGAATATTTTTTCGAAATCGACGGTAAAGCTACTAGTAGAAAGTAGTAGTAGAAGTAGTAGTTGAGGGGCTGTTGTTTGATACTTACGCGACAATCGCAGGCTTGCATCGATCACCGGTCGATAAAGTTGCGAGAGCCTCAAAGCCGGGGGTAGTAGTATTAGTTATTAGTGATTTGTACCGACACACACGGGGAAGAAGTAGTGTGGTGTTACTTTGCTACATTAAACACAAATTAGTTACACAAGCTACGTACACTACGCCAAAGACTATTGACTAAGATAAAAAAAAAGCGATATCACACAATCTCTCTCTCTCTCTCTCTTTCTCTCCTTCTCTTTTTCTCTCGCTCTCTCACCTTCACCATCTCTTTCTTACATCTCCCTTCCTTACCCACCAATCAATTTATTCTTTTCGCAATTGTTGTTATTATATAGCACACATATGGACAGTTTGTTAGAATAAACGAGTTCACTTTGCGACATAAGAATTATAAAAGGATTGAGTGTACGGAATTGCTGCAAACTTGCAAGAGAATATATTTATTAATCCGTACATCCGTTAATTTCGATTAAGTTTATTTGAGAATTAATCCTCAAATCTTTATTGTACAAATGCTTTGAAATTAATTTATGCCAAGAGAATTTTTAATTTTGATTTGTTATTTTTTGGTATAGGTAAACTAGAAAATTTTTTATCCTTTTGGCTATAGATTTTAAAAAAGTACTTTCGTTTTCATTTCATCCTTATGATGACTGATGAAAGAAGAATATTTTTTTGAGAATTATCTGTCATATAAACTTTATCAAAATATATGTAGTTGTGGAATGTATTCTCTTGTTAATAGAGATCAGTGTTGGGCATTAATTTAATTAATTAATGATTAATGATTACTATTACTCTGATTATCAATTGTGATTAATGATTATTTTTATTTTAATTGATATATAATTAACGATTAGGTATTTAATCGTTAATTGGATTAATAATTAAATTAGTTATTTTGAATGTCAATTAATAATATTTTTATCACAATTAATTGAATTTTAAATTTTCAGTAATTGTTATTTCTTAATGACTACGAATTTATAATTATTTTATTAATAATAGTAAGAATTTCGTTAATACAATAGTATATATAAAATAAATTTAATTTGTATTTAATATTGTATTTAATTAGACTTAAGTGCAATGTTGAAAATATTTGAAAGAGTAATCAATTATATTTATTTTGAAAAGAATCGTATAAGATTATTTAAAATAATAAATAAACAAAATTATTTCACTAAAAAAAATTTTAAATTTGAATTTAATAAAAAATATCATTAAAATTGCATTACCATTAAATCTCATGAAAAATAAAAAAATATTACAATATTCTTCAGATCTAACATCAACTTTAAATATTATAATTCAAATAAAATTAACAATTTAACAATAGTAATCATTAATGATTACTATTCTTTTGATCAACAATTGATAGTTAAATTCATAATAGATGATTGAACTCAAATCAATCATTATTTTTGATAATCAAAAACTTAACTTATACATTATCCTTCTTGATTAAAATGTCTTTTTTTTTTTTATTTTTCTGATAGATACATTAAAACATTTAAGACATTAACATTTTGTTAACTTTTTAAATTCATCACCATCAATATAATCATTTAATAAGAATAATACAAAGAAATAGATAAAACTTCATTTTTCTCAAAGAGTTAATAAAATAAAAATTCAGATTTTTCTGACAGATATTGTATAGTTAAGGATATGATTTTTTTGAATCATTAATCAATCAATCAAAAATTTTATACTATCGCTTTTACCCCAACACTTGACGTCAAATATTACTTTTTTCTTGCAAGCTCGAGGAAATGAAATCCTCGACAAGTGAAACCATCATTGGTATGAAAAATTCCGGTGCTCGAGGAAATTCAAACGAAATATGCATAATGTATCTCTGAAATACGGTGTAATTTGAAACAAAAGTGGCTCGATTCTTTTTACTCGAGTCGAGTATCCTCTTTCTTTCCAGGCCACCAATAAACTTACGATTTAGCAGAATTCTCCGGTTAACTCGACGATGTACAGAGTGAATCATTTAAATTCATCCCCTTAAAATATCCTCGAAATTATTTATTGAAGATATTTTGAAAATTGTATGATTTCGAAAAGAAAATAATTTGATTGCAGTACAATATAATTTCTTGAGTAAATAATCATACAAAGGATATTTAATTAATAATTTTATTTTTCTCAATTTAAAATATTAAAGCAGAGATATTTGATTTTTCAATAATAATCAATCTTTACATTTTTTTAAATGTCCATTAATCTAAATAGGAAAAATAATTTAGGTTTCTAAATGATTCACCAACTTCTTTCTAACATGTCTGAAGAAAAAATGAAGAAAAGAGTGGAATTTTGTATTTAGAAGCTAGCTCGTCATTTTCTATATTAAATTACAAGAATCTACAATATAAAAAATATATAATAAAAAAAAGAAATAATTACAATTATTCTTATATTTTAATATAAGAAATTTAACCTAAAAACATACGATTCTATTTGAAAAAAAAAACAAAAAATGACCTCTACACACACATTTATATAAAAAAAACTCCATTACACCAAATTATCTCCACTTATTTCGAATTTACACAATTTCCAAAATATCTTTTTCCATACAACAATCATATTCAAAAAAAAAAAAAAAA